CCAAAGGAGGCTGAGAGAGTGCAGCTGCGTTGGCAGAAAAAAGGCACATAAATTTTGGCGGGCTGATGCCGAAGGCAGGCAAGCTGCACAAGCGAAGCGAAAGCATGCCCACTGAACTGTGCAACAGGAAAAAGGACGGCCACCACAGTCGCACTCCTGTTGATGCAACGCTGCATGATGCACCGCTGTTGCATCCGTGAACAGCACATGTTTGTTCGTTGCACTTCGCGGTGCTCAAGTGTGTGCCCCAGTCTTCCCAGCTTCGCCGGTCACTGCATCGTTTTGCAACGCGACCCCATGGAGCATGAAGAGATTCTGGACGCAATGCGCAACACAATTGCTCGAAGCTACTTGGACTTGGAAATAATCCTTGAAGACTTGTACCTCATCTTTGTCAGCATGCGTTTTTGGATCCGCATCGTGGCCTTCTGCATGATCATTAACACCATGCTCGCATGCTTGAGCTGCCTCCAGACCATGCGTGCCTTTTTCAAAACCAGTGGCTTCGCGAACACTGCATTTCTCGGCATCACTCCGAACTCCGGTTTCCTGCATAGCGGATAATCAGCCTGACCGCCTGAGCAAAAGGGTCACATTTTTTCTGCGGCTCCTGGAACTACCGACGCCCAGGTTCTGATTGCCTGGCCGGTGCGCCGGACTGAGTTGCGCCTAGTGCCGTTTGCATGTTTTTTCTTGCACCGCAGATGCATCGAACACCAGGCTCAATCGTCTGGCCGGGTCCCCGGAGACCTCGGTTCGGACAGGCCTGCCGGCGTCGTGCGAAACGCACCTGGCATTCATTGCGGCTTGCTCCGCAGGAGGCAGATAATCTGCCCGCCAGCCGCGCGGGACGCAGCCCGCCGAGCACTACGCATGCGTGACGCCCACTCGCTTTGCAGCGCATCCCGCTACAAAGCGTAGCTTTTGCATTTGAAGCGCAGCCGCATTGCATTGCCCAAAAAAGAGCTCACATGTGTAAGTTAATGCTTGCGGGATCTTACACTTTGCTTGCTGGGTACGCATGAGCTCACTTGTCGGTGTTCAGGTACGCGGACGTGCTTGCCTCTGCATCCGAGAGGCCTTCAACTTGGCATTGCTTTCTTCCCCGCTTCGCAGCGCAGGCCTTACTCAGAGTTTGCATGGTACTCGGTTGCGCAGCAAGTTTTCCGATGCGTTACAAGACTCTCAATCTACCCTAGTCGCTCCATGTTGCAAACACCTGTCTTCGATGCCATGGCGGGGCCGGGAACATTGGGGTTCCTTTCCTGCATGGTCTTCCAAGCGAGCTCATGAAATTGAAGACATCGACAGCATCCTGGACTGCTCCAGCACCTCGGACAGCATTGCTTTGCAACCCACAGCCAAGCCCAAAGCGGGCAAGCGCCAGGCTGGTGTGGTGCCAGAGTTTAGCATCGCATCTCTGAACTCGCATTCTTTTTCGCCCTCAGAATGCAAACCCGCCGCATGTGCGCGTTAACACTGGAAAGAGGAGCGCCGACTTCAGCTCAGCGTCTGCGGCGTCAGATACGACCTGCCGCATCATCCCGGCCAATCAGATCCAGGCCAGCGCCCACTTTGCCGTGTGGCGGTCAGGCGCCGCCAGTGCAACACCTCTTGTTTCCTTGGTCGGCGCCGCTGGCGCATCCTTTACAACCTTTCTCAGGCAGGCCGCCGTCTCGCAGTGTCGCTGAACTCTCGAAGCCGCATGCCCAGCCTGTGGAATTTCAGGAAAGCGAGCATCCGACCATGACTCAAATCCCACCTGGCTTCGCACAAACCTGCTACACGCCCGGTCTGCAACGAGGCAAATGTGTCAGGCACTGGGAGGACCTTCTCTCCCAGATCAACTTGCGTCACATTCTCCCCACGCAACATATGAAGCATTCCTGCGAGCCTTTACGCCCTTGACCCTGGCGCAGTATTTCAGATGCATTCGGGCCTTCCTGGCTTTCGTGCTGGTGCACCTAGTAGACTTCCTGCATACATGCGAAAGCTCGCATGACGAAGATCGCCAAAGCGTCCGCATCGCACCTCGCTCGATGCTCAAAGCTCTCTCCTGGTTAGGCCGTGTGGGTCCAGTCGCTGACTGAACTGCTGGCCAACCCGCTCGCCAGGGCCTTCGCATGCCCAAGAACGCAGGGAAGCATCGCCTTTGGCATGGGAAAGCAAAGTTTGTTCCGAGGATTGCTCTCCAAACCTTCGCATGGCGTTAGGTTCTTTTCTCTTGGCAGCGCACACCAGCATGCGCTTCGGAGGCATCCAACGCACCAAAGTGGATCAGCTCAGCTTGACAGCCCACGCCCTGCGTGGACGAGTGGAAGATACGGCACATCCGTCCTTTGCAGGCCCGATGGCGTACACGCAAGCGCTCGCCCTTCTGCGCTGGGCGGTCTCGAGCCTAGACTTCTGAGCAGCGCCTAATAAAAAAAGGAGCAGGGCGATTCGGCCGATCGTGTTGTGAGTTCCTCCCCCTTTTTATTGCTGGTCCCCTCTTGGCTTGAAGCAGTGAACAGGAGTCTAACGGAGCACTCGGAATGCGCTCTTGATCTTGTTGAGACTCCCCTCTCCACTTGGGACATTGTCGCGGGATGGGTTGCTCAGCATCCGCAGGACCGACCTGCTGCCTCATCCTACATTTTTCGAGTTGTTGCAGGTAGTGGCTCAGTCCGAATTGGACGTCGGACTCCTACGTACCTGCCAAACAGCTGAACCAAATTGGTTGCCAGTCAACAGTAGACAAACGACGGGGATCGCGAAAGCCATGACAGATAGCGAGGAGAGCGACAATGAGCAGCGCAACAGGACGAAGGTGGGGAGGGACGGGGGCACCAAGGCCCTTACGGAGCTGTGCCAGGAAAATACGGAGATGAGCGAAGGTAGTGCGCAGGCTCCCATGACAAAGTACCGACAGAGAAGAAGCCAACTCTGAATAGTTGAGTGTGGGGAAGGCCAGTCGCGCAATCAACAAGCCCAGAAAGCTGAAGGTGCTCTTTACTAAGCATAACAAGAAAAGCGCCAGGGACAACACCATACGTAACATAAAAGAGCAGCGCCTGATCAGCTGAAACGCAGAGCGTGACGAAAGTGCGCCCAACACACTGGTCGACTTCGTCAACGAGCAGGAGTCCGCCCATGGGTTCGCTGCCGCGCAAAGACGAACCGCTGGAACTTGCTGAGCAGGACGACCCCATGAAGCAGCGGTTCCAGACCGCCTTCTTCTTGGCCAGTCTCGGGCAGCTCCTTTCAGTATGTTGCAAAGTAGCTGAAGGAGGCCTCCTGGGAGCTCTTTGCCTCTGCTACCATGCAGGGCAACCGCTTGTAGAAGAAGGGCATGCACAGAATCCCAGACAAAACACCGCCTTGTTTGTCCGACCACTATTTTAATCGATATACAGAAAGCACTTATTCGGCTTAAGATCAATTTGCGCCATGACCTTCGAGCTTACAGAACGCATCATGCGCGTGTGGCTTCAGGCGCGCCCGGCGGTGCTCTGAGGCGGCTGTGACCAAGCTGCACCCGCGCGAACGGCCTCTTCCAGGGCAGAAAGTGTTCACCGTGGATGCAACGCGGCTGCTGGTGGACAAGAACTTGCCTCTTTAGCATTAGAGCGCACATTGAAAAACGCCACATGCTCTGCTCGGGCTTCTGGCTTGCGGGTTTCATCGTTCTTTTCAATTTCCAATTGAAAAACAAAGTTAGTTCGAGCATGCGAAATTGCCTGAGCCGCGCCGTCGCTTTGCAAGCTTCGTTGTGGTAATATTGATCATTCAAATTTTGCAGCACAAAATCAATGGGCCGAGCCTTCGAGGCAGCGGGCTGGGAAGTCATCTCCCTGGACATGTGTGCGACATCCGGAGCTGGGACTAGACCGCTCCCGCCGGGCACTTCAACATGGTCTGGGCTAGCCCGGTCTACACGGATACAGCCGGGCGCTGACGAAGCGCCCCCGGCGGCTCCAGCCCGCGAAGCCGCATGACATCCGATGACATCCACCTGACATCCTATGACATTGGCCGAAAAGTGCCGATTATGCGTCCTTTTTGGGCCAAACTGCATGTTTTCATGTTACTATAGCCCCCTTTCCTTACTACTAAGCTCAAGCAGTTCCAGTAGCATTCGGATTCTTTCGATCAGCCAGGTGGGGTTTACAACGCACACTATCTTCATGTCGGGCCACCTTCGTTGGCATTGTTTTCTAGTTGAAAAGACAGTTTCTGCTCCTCGTTTTTCTTTGTATTCCGTCATGAAAGGCCACATCCCACCAGACCCCCAACACTCGCAAAAGCCCCCAGCAGGACAGAGGCTCCAAGGCCTTCACCCCGGGCCGGATCTTCGTTTCCGTCTTCGTTTCGGTCGGGTCTGTCTGGACGGCTTCGTTTCGATGTTCGTTCTTTCTGGTCTTCATTTTGATCTTTGTCCCGACCTTTGTTTTAACTTTCATGTTGCCTTTGGGCCTCTGTTTCTCTTTTCGTTATGGTTTGGGCCTTTGTTTTTGGAAAGTGCGTCGGTTTAGGTCGTCGAACTTCTCTTCGTCTTGGGCGGTGCATGGCGGGGCCTTCATTTGTACCTTCATTTGACCGCTGGGAGATTAATTGGCAGCCAGACATTGGGAAATGGTGAGCGTAATTGTTTATCATGTTTGCCTCCTTTCCACATTTGTGTTCGGCTTCATCGTAGGAATCGGTCTCCATTTTGGTCGTCATTCTCACCTTCGTTTTGGTATTCACTTTCGAATTCAGGTATCGTTGTGGCCTTCATTTTTGGCATGGGTTTTCGGGTTTCCATCATCATGGCAAAGTGCGTTTTATAAGCACTGTAGCCTAGCTTCTGAACCCAAGCAGCCCAACCCCTTTTTGACTCGGGGTTGGGATGATCAAGCCCGTTGCTGGAGCCTGAGGACTATCTTCCTGATGTGCAGAGTGATAGAGAGTCAAGGATGAAAGTGAGACATGTTGAGACTTCAAGGCATAAGTGAGCTTGATCACATTGCATGCCGCTGAGAGTATTCTCGATCGAGCTCATCCGTTGTCCAACGAGTTTAGACTCTAAGTTTAGACATCCCGCACGATGCCCGTGATGCAGCAGCTTCACTTGCCGCTGCTGGTCTTGGCATCGATGTTCCTCGTTTGTACTGGAACTACGGTGCACGTGTCCGCCACCGGCGAGGCTTCCGTTCCAGCCGGTGGCCAGCCGCATGCAGCCGAAGGCCCGGTGCCCATGATGAGACGTGAGGACGAGCCGAATCAAGTCCTGACTGAGACTGGCAATGCACCTCATTATGTAAACTGTCTCAGGAACGAAGGTCCACACAGGATGGGTGAGCACGCAGGCGGTTGGAGGACCCCTGAGGAGTGCGACAGCTTGGCAAAAGAGCTCCAAGCGGCAGTCTTTGGGCTGGAATGGCCGGAGGGCTCGCATGAGAAGGGCAAGGCCCAGTGCGCTGTTTGGAAGCACGACAGCCAGCTGAGCAAGATTGATGGGCTATTGGAGCAATGGGGATCGCGTCCAAAGTCTGAGTGCAAGTTTCATACATACAAACACCCTCTCGGAGGGGCAAATCGCATGGCTCTATACATTGCACGGTGATGGTCGCCGCAAGTCGCGGCGGCATCTACAAGTAGCAGAGTAGGAGAGGGTTTGCAGATACTTGTGGAATGGCCTTCCGTCACTGTGATACTCGACTGCCTGCTCTTGTGAAAACAGTGACGCTCAGTTGCTGCAGGATGCCCTTCCCAACTTGTCTATGCAAGTGGCATTTGGACCAGGAAGTTTGCCGCTTTTTGTTTCATTTACATATATGCAGCATATGCACATAGTTGAAGACCCGCAAAATCTGGAGGAGCTGCCATCAATAGGCCCTCCTATAGTTCTACCCTCAACAAGGGAAGTCCAAAGTTGTGTTTTTAATCAGAATGGTTAAAGTCACCTGCGCAGCCACTGGGGGTGTTTTCATCAAGACCACGCCCAACAATTCGTGGTAGTGACAGTCTGAAGTGTCGTTGACTTTCTGTTTGGCAAGAATCTTCTGCAAGACTTGTCCATTTCGTAGCGATTGCCTCGAATTGTTGGACCCGGGGCTTCATGGTGCACTGAGCTTCTTTTCGAGCGGGCGGTTGCTTTTTTTTCTGTGGCAATTAGAGCCTGAATGCAATCGCATGTTGTACAATGCAAGCGGATGTAACTGAAACTCAAAGGAAATCCTTCGTTCTGCTCTGATCGGCAGCTGTCTATCTACAGTGGAGCAAAATCGAACCCTGTGGGCGGGCGCCCATGTGGTTTTGAATGATTTGTGAAGGTTGGCAAGCTCAATGACTCAATGAATCTCGATGATGGAAGCACCTTTCATTTTTGCAGTGTCACTTATTTCGGGGGCAAATGCGACATTTGTCAGTTCTGAAAGATTGCGACTTCGTGCTGGCCGTACGCCAAACATGGTTTGAACATGAATCACCGACTTCTATGTTGGGAGGTGTTTCATTTGCAAGGAGTCCTTCGTAAGAGACAACCTGCATGAATCATGGACAGGCAGACACCAGATGGTTCAGACTAATAGTCACGGTGCATCTTCCAGGAGAACATCTGCCTAATCAGATTTGATGGATGGTTTGAACACCTGACAAGCAGCGACTGCACATTTCTGCAATGTTGTTCGTTTTGTGTCAACTTGTGAATTTTGCGATGGCAACTTTTCACGTGTTTTGCACTGGCATGGCTTGCTTCAGCTTATTGATTCATTCAACCAACTGATGATGGTTGTTGACATTGAGATGGATTCTTTTTCTTAAGTTGAGATTGCAAACGCACTCGCCCGTAGAGGATACATTCTGTGTGCTAGCGAAGACAGCTTGATGTTCAGCACATTGCATGCGCATTTTGTTTGGCTTAGATGACCATGAGTTTCACATTGCGTGTGAAAACACATCATATTTTGGACGTCGAGAATGACCACAAGCAACAGACGACAAAAGCAAGAGCTACAACTTTAATGCACACGGCGCCATTTGCAAGCATTTCACCCTGGCATGTGAGTGCTCAACTTGCTGCGCAGCACATGTCGTCAGTGACGCGCCTCATATCAGACAGGCCTCTTGCAAGATGTTAGGGACTGCGGCCTTTCCCTTTATTTAACGCACCTGGTTGTTTGTTGATGGATATCCGTCCGGGCAGAAGCTGCAAATCCTGTTGAGGGAATCCAGTCACGTTCTCAAGAGGTGTGACAAGTGCTCATGTGCGATTTCATTGATATTTCCAAGGTGTGTGTCCTTTGTGGGGTGCCCATGATTCTGAAGTAGGTAGACAAAATGTAGTTTATGTATTTCTGAGTATGTGTAGGATGAGTAGTTGGATCTCGTGTCTGTGCTTTGGGTAACCCAAACCATGGGCTGTCGCCCTTACCCCGACGGAGCAGCAAGGCGTTTGGGCTTTCAGATTTTATTTCCACGGTGCTTCCGTCTCCCTTCCACGCGCAATCGCATCAGCTTCCCTCCCATTTGGCATTTTTCATTTTTGGTGAGCGGCCAGGTCGGTTGGCTCAGGCACGGGAGGGCGAAGCAAGAAACATGGCGAGTGCATGAGGGTTCCAAGCGCACGTGGACCATATCATTCTTGAATGGCCGATCAGAGCACGTGGCGAAGGATTCACTGTTAGCTTTGCCAGGTGGCCGGACCCCTACCTCACCTGGGCAGTCCAGTGAGGGGCTTAGAGAACTTCCAAGCGAGGCAACGGGCATTTTTCAAACCCCGTGCACTCGGTTGTATGGTTCCAGCTTTAGGAGAGGCCCCATGGCTTCGGCTTGCAGCTGGGCTCAAATCGCGACAGAATTCCAGTCAGTCGTGCTGGAAGGTATGGAAGGTAGAGGTGAGTTTTTCTTGTTCATGCCCCATAGGTGTCCCCACTTGATGGGTGAGATGAGCCGCTTGAGTTCCAGCAGTGCAATTCCACCAGAGAGCTCCTTTCATCGTGTCGCGCGCCAGCGTGATGGTGAAGCTGCTGGTGATTGGCTCAGCTCTGCAAGTGCGGAAATGTTGTGGGATCATCACAGGATTTGAGCAAGAGTTTCTGAGATGTGCTTCGAAGGTGGAACTGCAGCGGTCCAACACTTTCCAAATGGCTACAGTGACTTATTTCTGAAATGATTTTCCAAGGGCAGGCGTTTTTCCTGGGGGCCTGGCGTGTCATGACTAAGGTGCTGAACGGCAAGGGATGCTTGGCATTCCGAAGCTGTCCCAACATTTGGCGTAGAGTATGACATAGGGCGCAAGGACCTCTGTCGAATTTCACTGGCCGGGTTTACTTTGCCATCAAGTCCTGCTTGACTGGGACCTACGTACAGTCGCCCGTAGGTCGAGATGCTAGGACTACGGTCCCATCCTGTGATTGCCAGTCATCGCTGTAAATGCCTTGCAGTTGAACAGTGTGTGGAGTGAGTCTGTTGCTTTCTAGCATGGTTGTGGAGCCGAGCCAATTTCTCGTGCAGAGCTGTTGCCATGGCATCTTTGAGACTTGCAGAAAGCGAGTTTTCTGTCGCGTCAGGCCTGGACACCCGTGGGGAGACCTCGGAGAGCCGGCAGTACTTCAGATCCTCCGCGCGGCTGGCGGACTATGCGCCTCTGATCTTGACGCTTCAGGCATGGGGAAACCGCTGTTTGAGGCAACGCTTTGGTCCCACGAAGGACACTTTACAATGTATGGCTGGTGGGGTACTCTTGAACTTGCACGTCGTTGTCGCTTGATATCTCCAGGTTTTTCTCCCCATGGCGTGTCTCAGGCCTTTGCTTGGCAAACCTGGCAGAAAACACCCGCAACACCGTTGGTGAAAGCACCGAGTCGATAGGGGAACGGTGCTCAGGAGGCCCACGTTAGGGAGGCGGCCAAAGAGATGGGCGTGGAGGTGGAGCTTCTGCAGAGCAACGACTTGGAGCAGGTTCTGAGGCTCCCGGGTGCTCTTTTCGCGTATCAAGAGGTTGAGGATGTCTCACCCGTTTTGGCAATCGCTTTGGCTTAGCTTCCTGTGAACTAGGCTATCACACCATGGAAGGAGCCAGACGGGCACTCGGAACGGAAGGCAGTCTTCAGATCTTCGCCAGCGCGTGCCAGCTGTTCCAAGTCTGGGACACGACAGAAACTTTGGCAAGGGTGATCCGTGATCCGTGGTTTCAGGCGCCTGCAAGAATCTACAGAAGATGCCATTGCCCACGCCTGAGCCGAACCCTAAAGCGGAAAGATCTGAGTTAGCCAGATCAGAAGGCGAGACTGTTGTGTCGCATCAGTATGAATAGTGACCATCTTGAAGAGAACAAAGGCTGTTGGCTGAGGGCGAGAGAGAGAGAGAGAGAGATGGCCCGGCAAGACATGTTTGATCAGTGAAGAGTGCATCCGCAGGTCATCAATCCGGCCGGTGCCTTGGGTGCGAACTGCGAGTGATGCTTTTATTGTCGGGCTTCCACGTGATTCCGTATTTAGAACACCTCTTCTTCACCGCTGCTTCGCAACATTTTGAACTTGAAGAGCAAGTCAAGAGCAAGTATTCCTGTGGTGGTGTATCGACCCAGGCTTCTTGAAGGAGCAGGCGCTGGTCGACTGCATCGCCGCACTGAAGAAGCCGGTCTTCGAGGTCCACTATGGTACCCTGTCATCGGGCTTTGGAAGAATAGGTGTCCCGTGCTGTGATAGCAACACAGTGACCCTCCATCAACGAACAACCTAAGTCGATGTCGTCCAGGCGTCTCAACGTATTGGGGTGCAGGGCAACAAGCTGCAACCTGCAACAGGCCCAAAGCCAGAGGGACTCTGCAGGACCGCCGGATTGTTGGGACACGCCATACACATTTACCCTTCCGCGACACCCGGAGGTGCCGTGCCTGCAAGTGTCTGCCAATGCTTTCCTGGTGTGCAGGCCCCCCGCCAGTCCGCAAGGAGACATACGGATTGCAGGCTTTGCATTTAAGCAAGACTCGGACCCGGAAAACAACAACTGAAGTCCTCATGCTGATGCAGCCCTGCCAGTTGGTGTGTGCCTCGAAAGGAATGAGCTGGACACTAGGACTTGATATCCTCAGGTTCCGTCGATGCGACAACAGCGCAGGCATGAAGCACCTGTTGAGTGGGCCCGCAAAAAGCGTGCAAAAAGCGCCTTCTCGGCCATGGCTCGTTTCTTTGTCATGAGCCATTGACCTTCTGATAGGGAGTCTGCCACTGAGTGTAGGCAAGCTGAACTGCCCTCTGATGTGTAGCACAGGTGTTCCCACATGCACCATCACTGCTTCCCATGCAGAATTCAGAGAAGTTGGTTTGAAAGCGCACTCCAACGAACTGGTTCTGGCGCCCTTTGCCCATCTTGTGCTTGAATCTAAGGTAACTTCTTCACCAAAGGTGCCTCGGAGAACGTAGAAGTGGCTGCGTTTTGGAGAGCATTTTGGTAGTCTTTGCCCAAAGAAAGCCGGAAGAGCTGGCATATAGAAGATCATTGCTTTTATCGTTTGTCTCAGTTAGCAGTGAAAGAGCCAAGGAGCCACATCGTTGGTCACTCCGGCTTGCAACCTGGCGAGGACAAAGTGCATTGACTGCTGAACCTACACTTTGACATTAGCTAGACAACACCCGTTTTGGTAAATGGGGATTTTTCCCGTGACCCACATCCGTTTTCAAAAGGTAAGGTTCCACTTGAGCTTCCAAATTCAAAAAGAGTGTGTAATTTTTGCACTGCTCGAGTGGACAAGGTGTCACATCTTTGAAAGTGCTGGCTAGCTGAAAGCAGGTACTGCAACTGGTTAAGTGACTAGACTGCAGTAGAACCAGCCCACACTCACGATACCTGTTGAGTGATGTTCCAGCTGCTCCTAGCAAGCAGTCTTGAAGTCTTGACCGCATTCCACGCACCTCTTTCCAAACAACCTGTTTTGTTTGTCGAGGGGGCACCCCTTGCACATGCACCCCTTGCACATAGATCTGGAATGATCCTTTCACCGGCACGCGTCTCAGCTCCTTAAACGAAGTGCACATTGAGGCACCGGCCTGTTCTGCGGCGCCAAGCTGAGCTCCTACTCCATGGGCATGCGCGCCGCTGTGGAGGCTGGCGGTTCAAAGCCGGCTTCTCGATGTCTCCTGCATGCTTCGCTTTTGTTTTCTGCTGTCTCCATTGCTGCAGCCTGTGTTGGACACCCTTATGGGCGGTTTGAACCTTTGGCATTGCAAACTGGCCAGGCACTTGCTCCCTCGCCCTTCGATGTGGAGGTTGCTGGGCGGGCTGGGCATGGGGCTTGCTGCCGGTGGGGAGAGCCAGACCACCGTCCAACTAAGTTACTGCCGCCCCAAAGATGATTTAATCAGAGTTTGATGGTGCCAGTACATTGCACTGGAGCCGCATCAAGCCAGGATTGAGATTCTTTGCCATTTTTTGTGCAGGGCTGTTTCAACATGCCTTTGGCTAGCAACAAACTGAATTTTTGGATAGCGCTACCGTGCTTGAATCCTGCCTAGACATCGTATGATTGTGTCTTGATGTTTTTTTGTTAGCGAGCAGATGGTACTTCCTCGTCGAATGCAGTGCGGAGAACAGCCAAAATCTGGCACATGATCTGTTTTTAGGCAAGATTTCATTTTAGAACATCCTCACAGTTTTTGCAAACATTCAATTCTTCTCCATTGTTGTTTGTTCTCCAGTATGCTCTGTGATCTACGAGAGGCTGGACTGGTGTTGCTGGGATGTTGTTTCTTATTCTTGATGCTGGGGTTGGTGGAAGACATTCTCGGCAGGCTTGAACCCCAACTAATCAGGAAAGCAACTTGGAAACTGCCTACCCTATTTCTGTTACTTTCTTCCATGCTGTTGCTTGTTTGCCCAGAGAAATGCCGTGCTTGCAAGAAATAGGCGGTATTTCTTCCCTTGAAGAGCATGGCACGGCTCGTTCTATTCTTCTCCGTCTTTTGTCATAAACCTTCCCTTGCATCTGTCCCTCTTGCCTCAGGCTTGACGTCACAGGACAGCTGGTCGGCAACAAAAAGTTTGCGTCTCGCAGTGCGCAAGTGCGCAGTGGCAGGTGGCGGACTGCCAGCAGACTTGTTCAAGATGCCGATCCCACTGTTTTGCGGGTTTTTAGGGGTAGTCAATCTCAGAAGTTTTGTTCATTGCGAAACACTGCATTGTGTCAAGGATCCATGGGGGCAGACTTGGTGTTTTCGTGGCCAGTTATCCCAGATTGGTGGAGTTGCCGTTGCTGACTTGCAGTATATCAGGTCCACGATTTAATTTTGTAGCCCTAGGCCTGCCTGCCATCCTCAGCTACCAATTCCCTCTCCAGCCACGGAAGTAGTTGGCCTAAGCTGTGTCGTCCAATGCTGTTCAAATTTGAGAACAAAAGCAAGCCAAGACCACACCCGCCGATTCTCTCCATGTCAGTAGCAAAAAAAACAGCATAGAACAACTTGAAGAGACTAGCATCATGGTTTGGTTGTGTAGCATTAGCGTGTGAAGTGAGTACAGAGCACCTTAGCTGAGTGTAAAGTCCGTACAGACCTTGAAGGCACGTCATAGTTTTCGCCGCGTGAGGTGTTTCTTGGGGTGCAACGTTTTCCAGCGAAACCCAGCAGCGTATCTGGTCCTTGAAGGATCACCGCTTCAGCGATACATACACCCGTTTACTTCTTTAAATGTGATAGTTATACCTTATGCAACATGTTATTGTCGGGATGAGCGCCCCAGGGTTGATGCTTGCATCGTTCAAGCTGTCTGTATCTCAAGGTACCATGGAGTTAGGATTGCAATGCTATGCTCTAGTGCGATCTGGTGACGGGCACTTCCTTCGGGTGGCAGGCCGTGTTGTGCAACACTCCAAAGGCTTGGTGATTTTGTGTTGTCTGGCTCGGCAGTGTGAGGGCATTGAGGGTGCAGTGACCTCGGACGCCGTGGGCGCCGTGGCTGACGGCTTGGCCGAGCAGGGACAGCCTGTCGGCAAGCTGGCTTTTGTTGCCGTACCTGCCCCGAACGTATGCCGGGAGGCCCCCGCCGATTGGAGCGCCAGGGAATTGGTAGCCCCGCACCAGGACGTGGCTCTGGCCACATTTTACGGCCAGAGGCCCCAGGTAGCTTCGAGTTCCGAAGCCGAGTTGGCAACAGCCTCGGAGGGTCGGACTGCATCTGCTCCCAGGGGCCCAAGCTCCGCCTGCAGTAGAGAAGAAGAAGAACACGGTAAAAGCCGAAGACCTGGCGCGGCAGGCATTGGCTGGGGGTGCCCCGCCCGCAGATGTCACACCGCTCCTCTTGATGGCCATGCTCGAGAAGAAGTCCCGCAGGCGAAGCTCTGTGGCCACCCTTGGTGGCTCCAGCTCCGACAAGGAAAGCGGCTCCAACGACGCGGGTCTCAAGTACCGTGCAGGATGGCGATCATAGCAAAACTGTACAAACTGGCTCAATATTTGGTCCACCTCCGCTGCCCCTTGACGACGAAAAATCGACCAAGAACCCGCTTGGCTAAATTCAACTGGTACTTCTGGGGTAGGCCAGCTGTTTTGAGGTCCAGTCTAGCCCTCCTCCGATTTGTCGGCGAAATGCCTCTGGCAGAGGTGCGGGCGTGGGCGGCAGCCCTGCCGGGCACGCTTGCCCTGGAGGGCGGCTCCATGATGATGAGACTGACCGCACGCAATCCCAGCGTCTCGAGCCCAAGGCGCGCTGGTCAAGAACACTATGGGTATCCGAGTTCGTGCATGGGCAGGACCATTATGATACAGGCATTGATCTATCTTGACCTTTGCAACCTGAGAGGAGTTCATGATGCGCTCAGTATCCAGCATGCGCCAAGCCCTTGAATTCCCGGGGAGCTCTACAATGAAGGGGACGTGGTATGTCAAACAAGCTGTGCCAAGCGCATGGTGCGTCGCCGCAACAAATTGCCAAGGGCGCCCGCCGGGTTACTTTCATCACCCTTAATGCAGTCCAAATTGCAGAAAAGGGGGGCGAGGAAAACGAAAAGAGTGCGACCCTTAGCAATGTACTTGTCTATCCAGAAGGGAACACCAGGGTTGTCAGGACCGCGCTGCACATTCACTGGGTCCCACATGGGTACGCCCACCTCCCGATGAGCAGCTGTAATTTGAGCACTGCCTGCAAAAATTTCGACGCCCTTGCGGGCCCCAGTTTTTTGCAGCAAGGGGCGAGCCCACAATGGCACGGGCTTGGGCGTTGGCAAGGGCTGTCTCGGCCGGGTGGTCTTAGTCGATGTGGTGACAGTGGCGAAAAGCATAAGCATCGGTAACCTTCCACGGAAGGGCTTCAGCCAGCTCCCCCACCTCATGCTGCGCTGTGGCCAAATGCCCGGCCGGGTCATCAGGCGCCCCGCCCAAGCGCGTAGCTGCCCCACGCTGTTCTGCCAATCGAAAAAGATGCTGGCCAAGCTTTTTGGGGATCTCGCATTCCACAGCTCCACCCAATGTCGGGGTGGCGTCGGTTGCACTCAAAATTTTCCACAAGGGCACCCTCATCTGCCAAACTTCTAATGGAAGATGCAAAGATGCGGCCTGAAGTTCATCTGTCACAAAATGGGGAAGCTTCGTCCAAGCAACTGGCTCACATTCAGCAACGAACTTGTAGGTGTGGTGGAAAATGGACAGCAATTCTCTTCTGTATTGAAAACAGTAAGCGTAGTACCCCAAAAGCTTTTGTCGCAATTTTTGAGTGGAAAAGCCTCCCTGCACCAGACTGCGAGTTAAACACCAAAGCTCTCTACGCACAGCAAGTGGCGAGGCGGCTGTGCCACGGAGCTCCTGAAGCTTTTGTGCAGCGCATAGGCCTGGGCTGCTCTTTCGGCAAGCAGCGAGTTGGCTGTCCGCTTTGGGGGGCCCTTGCAACCCATCAAATCGTCCAAGTACACCCCCTCATAAATCTCCCCTGAAACAAGCGGATGCCCGTAATGAAGGTGTCTTTCCGGGGAAAGAAGACCATGAGCTCGCAACACGCTCTCATGAGTGGCTTGTGCAATGTCACATGCGTTCACATCCCCCATCCCTTGTAATGTATCCAATTGCGGGGTAAAGCCAAGCAATAATAAAAGTTCCGCAAATCATCGCCTGAACCCGTCATGCATTGTCCGCCTTCTAAAAGGACCCGACTGAAACAGGCGCCTGAAGGCAGCCCAGTGAAGACGACGCATAGTGCAGTTTTCTGGCCTGCGGTCATATATTAGCCAATCCTCGTGCTCATTCTTCGCTACTGTCATCTGCACGTCGAGGCAAAGAGTCTTCGCAAACCAGGCAAGCCATGTTGTGATCTAACAGCTTCTCCGCCATGCGCTCCTCTTGGTCTAAAGGAACATTGTGAAAGGCTTGTTGGGGGATGTCCCCCCACTCTTCCTCAGGTTTGCGAAGCGCTGGCGAGTGTTGAAAGCGGCATTTTGGGGTAATACAACTCTATCGGGGTGCGCCTCCAAGGCCGTGCTAATATCATGTTGCGTGAAGGACCGATCTATACAATATGCATCCATGTGCGCTATGATCAAATTCTCTAATTCTTGCCGGCTCTGCTTCAGGGGGGAGCCGGAAAGGTCAGCCCCTGAGCGGCCAAAAGCAGCTACCTCGCTCAAAAGTGGCCCTACACGCTCCTTTAAGAGCTTGCTGTGGCAGAACCCCTTTCGCGGCTCATATCCCCTTTCAGAGTCTGGGCAGCCAAGCTCGATCCAGGAGTACCAGGCGCGCAGAGTGTTGATCCAGCACATACTGAACATCTGCGCTTCCAGCGTCCCAAAGCCCGGCCGTTCCGACTCTTCCCATCTGTCTTTCGAAAGTCAGCGTCGAAGGGTGGGGTACTAGCTGTCTGCCCTGACAAGTCAATGTGAGAGTGCTTTGCATTGGCGATCCACCAGCGGGCTAAAAGGCGAATTCCCGCCTGTCAACTCAGGCGTTCGCCCAGTCCGCCTATGGCGGCTTGGGGCATGCATCATCCTGCTGTCTGCAGCAGTAGGCTCTTTCACAAGCCTCTGTCCTCGTCCTTGGCGTTCTTGCCACGCAGCTTGCCCTTCTTCTTCTTCTTCTTGGACTCCTCGTCTTCTTCGGACTCCTCCGCCTTGCCCCCGGGCTTGGTCTCCTTGAGCTTCTTGCGCAAGTCGGCCTCCGCTTTGAGGAAGGCAGTCACCACACTCATCTCGTCCTCGCTTCCGGCCCACCGGCGACGGTTGACTGGGTCTTCCAAGCCGGTGAGTGGCCACGCGCTGGCCCAGTCGCCCACATCTAAAACATTCTGCAGCTTCGCATTCATGTTTTGACATATCTGGGCAGCCGTCCGGTGTGAACCTTCTGCGCGGACCAGTTCGTAGGCAGCGGCGTCCATGTACAGATTCCGCTTTGCTGAGGTGAACTTCCCGAAGTTCTGACGCCTTAGCCAATCCTTGATGGTCCAAGGCTGGCCCGGAACCACTCCCGAAGGCCCGGATAACGGCCTGCGGCTCCCTTTCCACACGCCGATGGATCTGCTGGAGATTCTTGACCGCCTTTAAGCCACAGTGGCCGTCCTTGCTGTGAAGTGGTCTGTTTGAAAACTTGGGCATTGCACGAGCCACCTACCAAGAGACACCCTATCAGCAAGTTTTTGCTTCAGTCCATTTGTTTGGTTGCTCTTTGCCTGGGCCTTCACGTGTCCGGGAGGGGAGTGTCTGAGGCTTCGGGTGCGACATGTTGGCTTGCCCGATAGTTTTTTGATTGGAGGTGGGCCGGTAGCAGTGCTGGCTATTGAGCACCCCAAGACCCGGAAAGTTTTTGGCCGACGGCAGTTCAGCTTGATTGAAGACCCAGACACCCTTGCCTGGCTCTCGTGGTGGTTCGCCGGTGCATCTGCGAAGGAGCCGCTTTTTCACGGCAATCGGGAGCAGCTCAGCGAGATTCTCAAAATGTGTTGCCGTATTTTGCAGATAGAGAGCCTGAACTTTTCATGGAGTTTTTTCGCACGGGAGGGGCGACGCATCAGTTTAGACAGGACAGGAATTTGGGG